ATTCCCCCCCTCTCCGCCTCCCCACGCTGAGAGCTCGATGCTCTCCTACCTCCCAGGCTGACAGCCAGCGGACAAGATAAGGGACGGGTTTGATCCGACGGGACTGCAGGCTGCCGGTCAACCTCCCAGGGCAACGGGGCTAAGGCGCGGGGCCCGGAGCCCGGCCCTCCCGTGAGAAACGGGGAGTTTTGTCCCGGGGCAGGGGAAGAGCTCCCGGTTGCCCCTGGCCGCCTACGGGACGCGAAGGTCGGGCTTGCAGCCGGTTCTCCCGGCCCCGGCGAGCGTCACCTTCCCAGCGCGGGGCACATCGGTTCAGCCGGGGAAGGCTCCAAGTCCGGAAGGGCTGCCTCCCGCTCACGGAAAATATTGCCCAGTAGTCAAAAGAGCCAGAGCGAAGAGGGGCACGGCAGGTCCGGCGAAGGGGGCAAGGGAAAAGCCCCTTCCCTCGGCACACGCCGGCCCGCTCCCCTCCGTTCCCCCGGCCCGGCTGCCGCTCGCAGGTGAGCCCCGGAGTTGGACAGCACGGTCCGGATAACACATCCTGCCCCCAGAACCAAACAAAAAGTACAAAAAATAATTCATCCTATAGCGCCCTGCCTTTCCTCCGCATACCCACGCATTTTACCTGTTTTTATGCCGGGCTTTTAATAAATTCCTTCCAAAAGGAGCCATGATCCCAGCGGCATAACATCAGCGATCCCCAAACAATTCGAGGTGTTCCCTTCTCCCCTATATTTTTGCCTGAGCGCCTTCCAGCTTGTTAATAGTCACCGAGCGTAGCGATGAGCTGGAAGTTGTGCAATTTACTGCTAACTTTGAACTCCAGCTTGTTGCTGCTGCTGCACCTTTGGAGTCCTGCCCAGCTGCGAACTTGAAGGAGGTGTTTAGAAGCAGGAAAAAGAAAGGGGAGGGGGGGAATACGCTCTTGCTCCTGTGATGTGGAGTTATGCACAGAACTTGCTAAACTTTCAGCCTTGTCACCCTCAGGGCAGCAGGCAGCAAATGGGAAAGAGGGGGTTTCGCTCCCGTGTGGAACTCCGTAAAGGCGCACACACACACAAAAGCACTGAAAACTTTCCCCGGGAGGCTCCAGCCACTTCAGGTCAAGTCGCTCAGCTTAAACGCACGTTAATGAAGGGCGAGCTACAGTTGCCACACCAGTTCTCAATGCATAATATAACCTGCCTTTTCAGTACCTCCGTACTTCATAAGGTGTTGAACGAGTACGGGGAAGATGAAGGGAAAAAGACCGCTGTGGCCCCTCTGCTCTCCCTGGACTTTTAAGTAAACGAGCTATTTGCATGGAAGCCTTTACAGACTGAATGCACCTTCGAAAATGTGGCCTAGAAGAGAACAAGTGAGGCAGCAACATGAAAGACTGGATTCATACTAAGCTGTTTCACGACCTTTTTTGTTATTATTTTAAACTGGCTTTGCCAGAAGGGAAGTGAACACACACCATGGTTCCTGTTCACAGAAACCCTCTGGGAATGAGAGATTTGGGTAGAGCTTCAGACGGAAAAACTCCCACCCAACCCCTCCCCAAACTGGAGCAGGGCAGGGGAAAGAGGAGCCATTGTGCCCAAAAGGCTGATGCCAGCAGGTGGAGGTCCCAGGGCAGGTGGAAAGTCCTGTGCACAGCCCTAGCACACCGTAGCCCTTTCCTTTCTGCAGTAATTTAACAGGTACATACTAGATGTAAGTAATTATCTTTCTTTTTTTTTTTTTTTTTTTTTTTTTTTTTTTTTTTTTTTTTTTTTTTTTTTTTTTTTTTTTTCCCCTTGCAGGGCAGATTCTTTATGTGGCTGCCCAAAGATACAATACAATAGGGAATTTTTTTTATCAACCAGGGGCAATGATTAAATAGGAGCTTAATGGAGTTAGAGCTTATCTGAAAAAAAAAAAAAAAAGTATTTTTCTAAATTTCCCCTTTCCTCCCTTGTTCAAGATTTCAATTTTCCAGAAGAAAACAAAGCAAAGGCCCGTTTCATGGTTTACCTATTACTGGCAGCTCTAGGAATACCCCACATATTTTCAGTTCAGTCCCACGCCTCTGAATTCTCTGAACTGTAACTACAAAGAGAGGGATCGGAGCCACTTAAAAGCCTTGAATATTTGCGTATTCATTCAAATAACACAAAAAATTAGGGAGCCTTAAATAGAATAACTTTCAGATTTCTTGTCCTGCTGCCAGGGTAGGTTTGAAATAGTCTGGTTTCAGTATTATGAAGATAAGCACACATTATGCCCATAGAAGTCTTTGTTTTTGCTTTGAATCAGGTTATATATGGCAAAAAGATGGAATTTTCTTATATCCAAAGGACTGGGAAAATTTTTCAGTACCTAAGAAAGTTCAAGGCGTATTTGGCATAAAAATCAAATCACTGTAGAACTTCCTAGAGAATAATTAATATTCAAGTAACTATTTATATTGTGAAGTTAAAATGAAATAGCTTTATCTACAAAATAATATTCACTTCTAATTATGCAAATAAATGGGAACTCAAAGATATTTGTAGCTGCTTTTATTACTTCTGAAGAGTAATCTCACAATTTTAATTTATTCAAAAATTAAAATACCATGTAAATTGTTCCTCTTCCTCTAGCAAATGCAAAATCAATTTCAACCAAATATATGCAATATGGGTCCCTCTACACAAGTAAATCAAAATTTTTTTTGCATTCATGTAGCTATGCAAAGAGACTCCAGCATAATAAGGAGACATTTTCCCCACAACTGAGGGGGGAAAAAAGAGGCCTCTCAGTCTATGCACTTTCACAATTAGGCTAGCCAAAATCAGGTAGAAAGTACGTGAGTGTATGATAAAGTCTTACAGAGTAATAAATGAGAGAATCTTAAGCATGAGGAACATAGCCCTTTCCTAAAAACAAGAGCAAAGAATGTTTAGTACACCATAAAGGAGTGACTACATGCACTTTCTTCCAATATGCAATTAATCTGTAGAATGCAAAGAGAAGTAACATAAAGACCTACTTAGTTTATAGTAAAACATACAAAATCACATAAAAATTAGTGCTCTTATTAAAAGAAGGAGCTTGAATTTCCATTCCTTAGCACATAAGATAGTTTCTGGATATAGGAGAAATAGTAGCAAAACTTTGCAGAGACAGGTTAATTTTGTAGGCAGTGTTGACACAACAGTTCAGTTAGCTTGTCCTTAAACTTCTAAAGTGCCTCAAATTATCTGTATCTGTATGTACATGTCCTTAGTTTTCTTTAAACTGCAGCTCTGATCTTCCAGGAATATTGTACTAACATTCCAGACCAGGGCCTTGGAACTTCCCAGCATGTCATGTTGACATAAAAAGTAACAACCACTCAAGTTTTGAGTATGATCACCTTTTAATCATACTTTCTGCATGCAAAAAGCTAAAAGGTGGCTAGCTGGTAGCATCACATTTTTCATCCATAAACTCACCAAATTGTTCTCCATCACAGTATCTGCCCACTTGGAGAAGTAATTAATGAATTTCAGGGCCTGTTTTGCAGTACTCATTTTTTGAAAAAACAAAAACAAAAACAAAAAAACCCCATATGTATGGATTTTGAAATCTTCAAAAAGACATGTCAACAATTCATTCTTGTATTTAAAGTAGAAGGAAAGGGAATTATAAGCACTGGTGTATTACTTGCCATTTTCCTAAGCAGATCATTCTGAGTATTTTATTCTTCTCTGCAAAAATACTGCAGCACAGAAATGCTTTAAACTCCACCTTTAATTCAGATTTAGAACCCAGCTTTAACCATATCAGTCTTTGGGTATAGTTTCAAATTAACTTCTTAAATGCAACAAGGAATGGGTGTTCTTGTGCTCCCTCTTGCCCTTTCTCACCTCTCTTACCCACCACTCTGCTCCAGTGCTTATCTTAAACAGTCTCCAGGATCTCATCTGATCTCCTTGTAAACTGATGTAATCTATGCAAATTCGAAGCCAGCAAATAAGTTTTGTTTATTCTGCTTTGGCTGATTGCTGAGATGAGTTGACTTACCTCAGGATCAGAAAAGTTCAGTCAGGTAGTGTGATTTCCAGAGCTGATATAAAGAAGGAATACTAAGAGAAAAAAGAGAGGAAACAAAGGAGAACTTGGAAATATGGGGAAGGAGTAAGATGTCCCTTGGCTGAGCAGTAAGGTAGCTTGGCAGCTTAGCCTGTTCTAAGAGTGGCTTCACAAGAAAGGACTTCATCTCATCTAATGGCTAACTGTCTTTAAAAGTGAGGAGGTCTTACTATTTCTCTAGTCACAGACTCCATACCCTTTCCTTGTGCCAAATCTGCTTTTCAACAGGCTTTGTGCTCACACCATGCAACTTTTTAAATGGTTGAAAAATGGACTTGACACAGGGAAGTAAATAAACAGCTTTTTGTGGGCTAGGTATTTAAATTGGCTTTTTGAGGTATCAGACAATTGGCAGATCTGGTATGTGAGGAGAGACACAGGATGATGAGGCCAAGAATGTGGGAAGAGAGATGTGGGAGGAAGATGTCTTGTCTGAGCAGCCCTGAGCAGCTGGATTGGCTCAGCCACATTGTGTAACTTCATTCTGGCTGCAGCAGTGAATAATGGAGACAGCAAAAGGTGCCTTAGGAATAGGACAATTGCCCATTCCTTGCTTAGTGCATAGGCTGATTCAGGTACTTTGGTTTCCTCATTTTAAACCTCATAAATATTGTGTCTGCTTGAGTCAGCCAAATATATGAATGAAAGACACTAGACCAAATGGTCCAGTAGTGTAAGAGGAAAAGGTCAATATTGGGATTACAATCCATCAGAAAAAATGGTGATCAGTATTCAGAGAGATTGATGATTTGCCCTGCTCAACTTACTTGAGAAGATTTGCATAAATTACTCAAAAGGACCAGTGGCTGATAATAAAATGGCACGTGAGGGTCATGTTGACGAATGTGGAGCAATATACTCAGAAGAAAATCTAAATAAACTTTAAATTAACTGTCACATCTTGTAAATGTACTCTATTTGGAACAGTTCATGAAAAGCCTTAGGTTAATGTTCTATACTCTTAAAAGCAAAACTAAACCAAAACAAACAAAAAGAGAGAGTTAACAATTAATGAGAAAGGAATGCAGAATGAATTGGAAAAGGTTGTTATGCCACTGTAAACTTTCACTCTGAGTCTACATTTTGAATAACAGAGGTAGCCCATCTGAAGGAGGATGTGGAGTACATGGCAGGAGGAGAGTCTTGACATACAGAATAGTTTCATATGTGAGGAGAAACTTAAGTAGCAAGATAAGACTCTTGGCTCAGAAGAAAGGTGAATATCTGATTAATTTGAAAGAGCTCAATGATAATCTACATGATGCAGAAAATAAACATGAAACAATTATTTCTCACAGTGTAAATATAAGGACCTGCTGAAAGAAACAATCATAAAGCAAAGTTAAAATAAATACACATAAAAAGATTTTACTTTTAAGTTAATGACTTGAAGATAGAGGTGCTATCTGACTACAAATAATGGCCATCTGACTGCAAATTTTTTGGAAGGAAAAAGGTAGGAATAGTTAAAAAGAGAGATTATGCAAAATCATGGATCTTATGATCAAGAGAAGTTAGAAAAATCACTGTATTCTGTGTCTTTATTGCCTCAGTCCAGCTGTATCTCAAACCTTTTTCTTTTCCCTTCATTTCCCTACATATCACTAGCTACTGGCATGGCCTAAAGTACAGTAAACTTCACAGTTTACTTTTGACTTGCAGACTGGATCCACATGAAGCATCACCTTGGCTGCTGTGCCCTCTTGTAGATGACTTCCATGTAAGGATTTTCCTGTGCTTTAATAAAACAGTGAGCATAACAGTCAGCTTGGTTCCCTGTAAGCAGGTTTTTATTCATTGTTGTAGTTACAGAACTAGTTTTTTATA